TGTTATAATTAGTTCAATAATTGAAATCAGGGATGTGTTTCTACATCACATTGTGGTCACAAAAGAATATGTAATAGAATCGTCCATATTACAATAGTAAAAGCAGTAACTTGAGAGGTTTCTGAAATATGTCTGATTGTGGCCGTGGAATAAATGAGCCTTGACTAGTTATTCAATCCATTTTTAGTTTTTGTTTTGTTTGTAACTGTCAACAATTTTCCGCATTCAGATCATCATGGCCCAATTTAACGTGCAGTCTCTTCCAATCCCACGACGTGAATAGAAATGCACAACATTTATCCCCGCTAATTTATTTAATATAACTGTGCTGAAGGGAATCTTTGTAATTCACATATGAATAGATGTGATAAATCCTATTTATATAATTTTTCAAAACAATTATTTCACTTGTCTCTACATTTAGACATGTTCTTTCTACTTCTTTAAATTAGTTGTATTGATTAATTGTAAATGGTATGCCACAAGGTTTAGACGAAAATTACATCAGATCAAAGTTAAGACTGTTCGGAATTAAATTCTGTTCGTGCAAAACGATAGCTATGGATTGTAGGCGGTATATACAAGTACCAAATATATCATACACAGCACATAGACCCTTATGCCGTTGTCAAGCAAGTCTTGCTTGACAACGGTATAAGGATCTATACTGAAACGTCGCCTTTACAGTATTAAAGAAGTTGTGTCTACTTTATCATTAAAAATGAAAGGCGCGGGGAAGTATGTCTATCGGATATAATATATATATCACTCAGAACGATTGATAACGATAGAGGGTTTTTATTGGATGTATTATATTATACATACTTCAGAATGCTGTAGATGCAGACTAATGCAAGCTTTGAAACATTCTAAGAAGTAACAATATCCAAGCTGGATGTTGACACTAGTTTCAGAGCGGTAATCTATCCACATATACAAGTAACTGGTAACCTCAAATGCCTCCTTAACTTAACCCTATCATATATACATGATACGGGTAATGCAAGCTCAGAAGTTTGGTGTGAAAAAATAAAACGAACAGATATAAGCGGTAAGAAGGATATGACTGCTCATACATGCATGCACCAGTAAACCAGAAGTGAGTATAGTTACTTCAGTATTTTAGGAACAAGACAGCTTCAATGTGAAATTGCAGTTTGCCTTGTTTAGAAGATCTCCAAATGACAGGAAAGATATATTGAAGCAAGTCGAAATAATATATTTAGCCTAAAATCACGATGATCCATGGACAGTGCAGTGTGTATGTCTATGTTGGACATGGCTTAAAATATACCCACAGCTACGCTTGTCGTGGGAGGCGACAATCGATGGACCGGGTGGTCATGCTTGTATAGTGACTTCGTTGAGTGTGTGTCATGTGACCCGATATGAATACATGTAATCGAGACTGGACCAGACAAACTAGTGGTTTAAGTATGAACAACCTCCCACGCCGACATGTACGATGACTCGCAATTAACCGAAAAACGAACATGACTCCCCGAGGCTCTTTAGCTGCCTCTCTGACACGATTCTAAGCCGGACTTCCCATAGGATCAAGGGAATATTACCTGCATGCTCATCTTTGATGTTACTGGTACTTGCAGTAAAATGTTGGTCCACATGGGCAGAGAGCAAAATAGTGATTGATATTATAAGCAAACATCAAGCATGTCGGAGGACGATGAACCTCCGATCCATTAAGTCACCTAGTAAGAAAACTAAGCATGTGTTGCTGGGGGACCACTTCTGCACGGAATCAACTTCCTCAGTGGCCTATAGTGGATAGACGTCTGCAGAAGGAGTAAGTTTGTTTTTTTATTGTTGTTTAACGCCGCACTCAGCAATATTCAAGCTATATGACGACGGTCTGTAAATAATCGAGTTGGACCAGACAATCCAGTGAGTGACATCATGAGCATCGATCCACGCAACTGATCATGAGATACGATGACATGCATCAACCAAGTCAGCGATCGTGACCACCCGATCCCGTAAGTCGCCTTTTACGGCAAGCATGGGTTGGTGAAGATCTATTCCACCCTGGATCTTTACGGTTCAGAAGAATTAGTGGGTGAATATGTATTTACACTGCTTTTAGCAGCATTCCAGGAATATCATGGCGCGGAACACCAGAAATAGACTTTACACACTGAACACATGATGGGAATCGAACCCGGGCCTTCGAACGATCGAACTCTTTGACCACTACGCTAACCCTGGTAGCGGAAGTTAAAATAAACGGGAAAAGATAGTACCCATGCTTGGCGATTGGCATGAAGTTGATAAAAGAACTGTACCAAGTACATATTCTGTTTTACAAAACTCATGTAAGAATCCATGTATTACCCTCACACTCCCTCCGTAAATACGAAAATTTCTGAATTCTGACACTCCTTGTGTGACACACAAACTGGTATAAAAAAATCGCTGTGAAAGTACCAATCATGACCTGTCTCAATATTTGCTAAGTCTGTAGTTCTATCAAAAGCTAAAATTAATTATAAATATTCAACAGTTGATTTTCAAGGTATTATGCCGCTTCTGCACAGTTTGATTACGGTAATACAAAGGTAAATATATAATCAATAATTCATAAAATTCAATACCAATCTTGGACTATGACCCCTCAATATGTGCTCATAAGTTGTACTGTCAACAGCTAAAAGAATTCCATTAACTGAACATGTGAAAGGGCTATCCCATTTCTGGTCAAGGGGACATGGGTGATAATATAGTAAAAGATCTCTTAAAATTAGTAGTATTGACCAATTTCATTCAGATTCTGCTCACGAGTGAGAAATGTTATTTGCTATCAGCAGCCAAAAGAAAATCTTCAGATTCAATAAACTGTAGATTTTAAAGGCATTTCCACTTCTGGTCGAGGCGATATGAGTGATAATATAGTAAAAACGACGACATGCATCAACCAAGTCAGCGAGCCTGAAGAATCAGGAATCCCCACAAGGGTTGCGTAAATTCTATAGTCAGTGATTGAGATATATTTTGATGTCGTACTCAATGCCGAAAGAAACACACACCCTAAAGTACGAAATCTTCGAAAACGAAAAGATATAATATATTACAAATAGTTTTCGAACATTTCTTACTTTAGGATGTGTTTCTCTTTTGGAAATCAGTATAAATTACATAATTGTATCAAATAAAAAATACACTCGTTTGTACGTTTGACCTGTTTGTGCCATGACACATGACAGTGTTCAGCCATTCATTCAAGTAACAGGGCTCCAACTGTAGTTCAAACCCCATATTCAGCAATGTGAGCATTAAAATCACGTTTGAGTGTGTGGGTTAGAAATAGAGACAACTGGCCCACGTTAAAATACGAATCTTCAGTGTCCCCGATTTAAAATGTGATCTCTCAAATTTAAAAGTGGCCCGTGTACGGTTCAGCATCACAAATGACATTCCATTGCCAATGACCGCCGTCATATAGTTGGAATAGTGCTGAGTGTGGTGTTAAACATGGAACCGACTTGAATCAGGTTGGTACTTCACGACACTACAATCCCCGTAAAATAAATCATGAAATATATTTGCATACAATTACAATTAAGGTACCAAAGCCCAATAGGCCATTTGGAATATTGGATTAAGCTTTAAGTGAAGATCTTACAGACTATTCCATTGTTCTTTACTGTCCAGTAGCCAAATTAGAGGCGATCTTGTAATACCCATTATCGATATAAATACTGATTTGGTGCGTTGTATGGGAATATGCACCTATTGTATGTATAAATTAGGCAAACACACGATATGAACGTGACACTGCAATTTTTTAATAGAAAACCAGAAAAAAATAATATGCTGTTTAAACACTTAAAATAAAAATATTGACATGACATGTCTTCTACTTTGGGTGACTGTACATATAGGTTGTAAATTGTTTCCCTGGTCTGAGCGCTTTGGAATAACTTTCACAAAATCTTTGTCTTAACGACCATTTTATATTCATATGTATAAATGTTTTCTAAAATTCTATACTGCACTACAACTTTGATGTTGATCTTGTAGAGAATGTTGGTGACAGGACAAGGCAGGGTGTATTCACGATCTGGTTCGGTATGGCTTTGATTCCAGAAGATTCAGTTAACACATCTTGGAATTGGGCCCTTCGGACACGTGCAACCGGGTCGACAAGACACGAACCTGTTCTTGTAACCAATGGTATAGCCAGTGCAAGCTCTCCTATAGCCGGTTCTGTAGGATAAATAAATGAAAATTAATTAGATGTTGTCCGCACTATTTTACCTGTGCCAAGTTGAAATTAATAACATGTGATGCAATCGATTGCATGATTCATAAGTGAATATTATTAATCACACGTGCAGTTTAATAACACGTGATTAATGAATTATATTATATCTTAGCTTCACGCATTCACTTGGGATAATAACGTTTTATTGTTTAACGCTGTCTTACGTATTTCAGCAATTTGACGACGGACAGGCAAACCAGTGATCGTTATTGCGGACAACGTCCCACTCCGTCTGGGAAGGGGTACGATAATACGCAATCAACCGAGGCACCTGATCCATCACTATATCCATTTAGTCGCCTCTTACGACAAATATAGATTGTTATGGATCTATTCTAACCCGGAATTTGATGAAATGATTTCAAAGTGAACATTGTTACAATCTCACCGGTATCTGGTACACCTACTCCATCCCAAAAATCCACAACTTGTGGTGTATCTTTGACGATACGTTGTTGATGGGCATATACTGCAATAAAAATGTCAAGTCATTGTAAATGAACACAATCCAAGTAATTAAATACAGACAAAATAATAAGCCAAAATGATGAACTTATTACAGGCCCATCCTCCTTTGATGTGAGATGGAGTGTTCACGACTTTACAAGTGAAATTTGCAGTTACTTCTACTTGATATTGTCATTTGGGACTACAAAACAAGTAGACAAATCTAATTCGTTCGACACAACAAAAATAAATAAATCATCATCAGTGGCCTTACGGTTTCTTGAACGAGACACGCTCCGTTACTGTGCACACGTCACAGAAGCAGTCCCGGACTGAAAGGAAATAAGATACTGTACACGTATGCACACCCACGGAAACACAACAAAACACAGCCACACAAACATTCGCGCAGGCGCGCTCACTTCACTAAGAAATACAGCAGCGTGACACAACACCCTGCATCAGTTCTAGATATATTCATGTTTTATGAGATTCTATTAATTCAAACATTAAGCAAATTGTGTCGTGAGCGTCAAGATATCTGAGGAAACACACACATTTCTGGCGTATCAGAGCAGATATTAGCAGTAAAAGGGCTTCTTGAGTGAAATTTGTGGACATGTTTCATGAAAACAAAAGGCTCCAATTAATGGAATTGATGCTTAGTAACATGATCGAGTCAGTTCAAAACCAACTGTATCACAATCACATACAATTCAAACGTGAGCATAATGAAAGAAGGTGTAAGCCCACAACATATGTATTTCCTTTCTTCAGCCCCTCTCGAAATCCAAGTCCAAGCGCTCTCCGCAACGTCGAGGTAATTTGTTAATCACAGATATGCTATCAATATTTAAATCACAAAACTTGCGTAGCTTTATTCCATGACCCTTCCCCTTACGTTTCCAAACGTAACGCATATCCTAATCATATACACAACACAACACAACACAACACAACACAACACACAACTTAAAGGTCACTGGTATTTTTCATTGATATTGATATCTTGGCTTGCGGGTTATGAATAAACGCAATGCATCGATAAACAGATCAGTCGTTACTCCCTTATAGGATATAAAAGCATGGCTGGAAGGTGCCCAAATAGTTCTTTTTAGGAAGAGGTTGAACACGAACACGAACGATCTTTTACCCAAGTTGTGTCTCGTAGGATATGTAGGTAAAGGCAGCGCACACTTATGGCAAAACCTCTTCTTTTTCATGAAAGTTAAATACTTCGAATTTGTCGATCATTTTAGTCAAATTTATGCGTTTTATCTCATCATTCCAAAAGTTCAAACAACTGTTATCTTATTCATATTTATCGTGTCAAAATGTCCAAACTTTTCAGTAAAATCGACGGCCATATAAACATGTCCGATAGGCTTTCTGTACGTCAAAATATAACATGTCCACATCAGTATCATTGCCCTTCTCTTACCCATCATTAGACTAACGGCATCGATATTAAAAACAACAACATTCATGTCATGAAACTTTACACTCATTTCCTCATGAATTCAGAATATGATTAATAAACGCTACTGACTCTAAATGGACTAAGTCTTTCTTACCGAGTGACTCCACCAGTCCAAGACAGATGAGGACCACGCACAGTTTCAGTACAGCTGCCATGGTTGTTTTGCCTCCGTGGTCAACACCAGACTGCTGTATGTCAGGGCCGCCTCAAACGTTTAACCAGTCGTAACATCTGTTTGCTATGTAAAGTAAACATGGCCAATTAGACCGCTCCTTACACCTAATATAAACCTGCATTGTGAATAAAAAAATTATGGTATATCTATATTTAGAAAACATGTCATGGTAACCTTGGAGTAAATGTAAGCAGTTTGTTTCAGGAAAATTTGAGTAAAAGAAAAATATGAATCGCAAGCACATATGTGTTTTGCATCTAATCACACAATTACACACTGGATGTTTACTATCCAAAAAGATAGAGAACATTAGAAAATAACAAATGTTTGCAAAAAGATATCGATAAATCTTTGCTAAATGCTGAGTCCATTGTACGATTTCGAGTATATCATAAGCATAGGCAATTGTTAACCTAAGAAAACATGTGAACACATGGTACAAGTTAAAATGTTGAATTGCATCGCACATACTTTTTCTCAGTGTAGCGTCAAATTTGGTATGACCTCCACATGTCTACCATAAAACATTTTTAAAGTTTCACTGAGGCCTAAAATGTTGTAACCCTGATCAAACAACTTTTGAGCAAGAGTCGTATGACGTTCTATGACATTTTCGTAGATCGAAGTCATTGCATCACAGTTTTAGAATGTTGACAAATATTAGAGAAAAGACGATTTTTCCAAAAAACATTTAACTCCCACCCATATGTCTACAACTACGTATCTGCTTGTGCTAAACTTAACAATTCTGATTCACAGCTGTGTGTTTGCGATATTGGAGTTCGACAGGGATATTTCCTCAGTCCTTTTTACTCTCTATGTTTATAAATAAATTCGCGAATGAAATAGAGACTGAACAAAAGGACTCACTTGAATATCTGATACAAGGTCACGATTGTATGACAGTACTTCACACATGCTATGCAAAATCTCTTCCGTTCAAATGTTTATCCCACTGAAACGAGAGACAGACAATGATTTTGACGAAATCAGTCGTACGGGCCATAACCCTCGTTCGGAATACCCCGGTTAACCTTTTCGAGGTTGCATGATTAGAAAACACATTCCGTCTGTCATTTCCTGATCTGGTAAGCGACGCTCTGATTGGTCGTATGAAATGTAGTTCTGACGTAACCCGTAATGGGATGTCCTCGGATCTAAGATCTGATTTTAATGAGATTGTAGTGTGACAAACCTTGAAACAAAATCGGGATTCGAACCAATCGCCATGGGTTTCTGGCGTGCCGAAGGGACACAACTCTGCACAGATAATTGCGACGCCTCAGACGATTGTCCACCCATGGCCCCGTATCGCTGCAGAATGATTTGGTACACCATAATTGGCTGAATGTAATTCCATATTCAATATCAATCGAATCCTAATGCGACCTTCTAGCAAAGATCTCCCCCCATAGAAGACCCGGGTTAGAATTGCTCTTAACCAACCCATGCTTGTAGAAAGAGGCGTCTAACCGGATCGGGTGGTCAGGCTCGCTGACGTGGTTGATGTATGTCATCGTTTCATAGATCGATGTTCACGATGTCAATCACCGGATTGTCAAGTCCAAGCTCGATTATTTACCGACATTAAACAACAAACAAACAAAACAAAACCTTTAAGAATTTTATGAGATTGGTACTTCCTGACACCACAAGTCATGGAAAAAAGTCATGATGTATTTGCAAATAATTACAATTAAGATACCAGAGTCTAATAGGCCATTTGGAATATTGGATTGAGCTTTCAGTGAAGATCTTATTTATCATCGTTATTTACTATTCAATAGCCAAATAGCCAAATTAAATGCAAACTCGTCGAGACAGGGAATACTCTTCATCGATGTTCATCCGGGAAGTACTGTTTAAGTACTAATTTGGTGCGTTGAACCGGGACATGTGCGTTTAATAGAAAACCAGACAAACAATATGCTGTGGAATGAATTACACGAAATCACCATCTTAACGAGCATTTTATTATTCTATGTGTCAAAATGTTCTGAAATTCTAAGCACATGCACTTAAAACACAATGCACCTCTGTGATGATATAGGTCGTCACCGCTGTCATCCTTGACGTGATGTGAGACAAGACACTTCCTTGTTGTGGTTTTCTAGACGGTACACTAAAATGTATGTCAATTATGCTAAATTACCTTTACTTCGGTGATCATACCGTGACTTAATTTTGTCCTTTTATCTTCCAATTCCCGAAGACAATAAATACACCAGTTTAACACCGTGTTTAACAAAGCTTCCATGTTAAAATTAGTATAAACCAATCTACAGGTAACATACAATTTACCTCTATATTGAAACACAGTATGTGTAGCTTCATTCTATTCTACCTTGACAATGTGAAACGCGAACTATTTGATGACAGATAATGAGTGAAGCAGAACAGGTGGATTCCAACGTTTTGAGTGGCTGTCGATTTTGAGTAAGGATGTGTCTCTCATAAACATTAAACAGCGGTGTGCCTTTATATGTTCAAGTAATGCTGTTTGCATCAATGTCGTTTACTCGTATATATGAAAGGTATGGTAAGTGTATAGAACAGCGACTTTCGTAAACAAACATTAAGCGGTCATCCCTACATTTTCCCGAGGCAAGGGATTTAACTGACTATAAATGTCCAGTTTCCACCCTTGCCGAACAAGGCTGGTATTATGGAGTTACATTTTGGCTGGACTAACGAGTCTATGCATAGTCCAATCAAAATCGCACACCGAAATCGAAATCCGGTTCGTAAACTGTCATGCAGATTTCGGTCGATTGCAGAATGTGCAAAACATGTGCACCGCCAACTCGTTGACAGCAGATATTTTCAAAATCTTTTCATGTTTGTAATCAAGGAGCTCACGTGATTTGATGCTTTTCGCGATGTAAGACCCGTTTTATCACAATATAGATCTTGATTATCGATCAGATCGTCCTGACTGGGCGCCACCATTTTGGGTGAAGCAAAAGCAAGTGATACGAGAGGTGGAATCTCATTGGTCCATAGGAGAGGCTAAGCGGGGACAAAACTGGTAATAGCCACTGGTGGCGCTACGATGGAGCCAAGTGATTCCAGCCTAGTTCGGCAAGGGTGGAAACTGGACTTTTAAAGTCAGTAAACTCTCTTGCCTTGGGAAGATGTCATCCCTAACGATATGAAAGTACAGGTAGAGCCATTATCATATCACACAACGTTTCAGCTTTCTAGGCCTTGTATATCTTCAGAATACACATTTGATGTAATTTCTTAAAAATAAAGATAGATTCACCATTCTGAACGCATATCTGATGTCTCCATTAGAAGGAACATTCAGATTTCAGCTTATTTCTCTCAAGCAGATAACAGAGCCTAAAATGCATTTGACTTAAAAGCCACAAAATCATTTCCCTTATCATATTTCTTTTTACTAAAAGCAGTGTTCATTTGACTATTTCAACTATATCTTAAAAGGTGAGTGTAACCCGTCACAAATACATGCAAAGGCAAGAGAAATTGTTCACCTGCAAAAAAACACGGAAACATGCTACAAGTCAAAATATCATTTCTATCAGTAATGCGTTCAATTTTGAACTACCCCCCCCCCCCCCCCCCCCCCCCACACACACACACACACACACACACACACGCACATGTCTACAAAAAAAACATTCGAAAGCTTTGCTGAAGCCTTTAAGCACGTGGTCAAAATACAAACCTCAAATCAAAGTCAATAGTAAACGTATCCCAAACACGGAACACATACTACTTGTCCTACTACTAACTACACAAATTTGATATCGTGTTGGAAAGAAATGGTCGTGAACTGGCTATAAAAGGACTTTCGAATATTGCTTTCGTGGAGGCCATATCCAAAACTGGATTTAGTGAAGACGAACAACCAGCCTGTGACATAAGCTCATTGACTTTCAGACAGGTGATCTAAGAATTGGAGAACAAAAACAAGACATTTTATGTACAATTATAAGAAGAAGAAAATACACCAGCATGCCTGCGAGAGCTTTACTCTTAGCTTTATCGAAGGCAGTTTGTGATTACATTGTAGGGTATTTCAGTGAAGGATCCGGGTATGCATATGTCCTTACCCAACAGGTACAAACCAGTACATGTGTGTGGTGTTGCGTGGCGTGGCGTGGCGAGGCGTGTTAACAATTTCCAAGCTCTGCCATGGCTACAAATCGTGGTTGAAGAATCAGGTTGGTTAGTTGGTTGTTTAACACCTCACTCAGCAATATTCCATCTATATGACGGCGGTCTGAAAATAATCGAGTCTGGACGAGACAATTCCGTGATTGACATCATGAACATCGATCCACGCAGTTGGGACCGATGACATGCATCAACCAAGTCAGTGAGCCAGAAGAATCAGGAATCCCCACAAGGGTTTTTGTAAATTCTATAGTCAGTGATTGAGATATATTTTGATGTAGTACTCAATTCCGAAAGAAACACACACCCTAAAGTACGAAATCTTCAAAAACGAAAAGATATAATATATTACAAATAGTTTTCGAACATTTCTTACTTTAAGATGTTTTTCTCTTTTGGAAATGAATATAAATTACATAATTGTGTCAAATAGAAAATACACTCGTTTGTACGTTTGATCTGTATGTGCCATGACACATGATAGTGTACAGCCATTCATTCAAGTAACAGGGCTCCAACTGTAGTTCAAACCCGATATTCAGCTATGTGAGCATTAAAATTACGTTTAAGTGTGTGAGTTAGAAAAAGAGCCTACTGGCCCACTTTAAAATACTAAACTTCAGTGTCCCCGACTTAAAAAAATCTCTCAAATTTAAAAGTGGCCCGTGTATGGTTAAGCATCAATATTAACATTCCATTGCTAATGACCGCCGTCATATAGTTGGAATTTGCGCTGAGTGTGGCGTTAAACAAGGAACCGACTAAAATGAGATTGGTACTTCACGACACTACAATCCCCTAAAAATAAATCATGATATATTTGCATATAATTACAATTAAGGTACCAATACCTGATAGGGCATTTTGAATATTGGATTAAGCTTTTAGTGAAGATCTTACAGACTACTGCATAGTTATTTACTATCCAATAGCCAAATTAAAGGCGATCTTGTCGAGACGGGTAATACCCATTATCGATGTTCATCCGGGAAGCACCGTAAAAATACTGATTTGGTGCGTTAAACGGGAACATTCACGTGTTGTTGTATACAGAAATTAGACAAACACACAATATGAACGTGACACTGTAGCTTTTAATGGAAACTAAAAAAAACAATCTACCGTCTAAACACAAAAGATAAAAATATTGAGAGAAAAACAAACACATGACAAGTCTTCTACTTTGGGTGACTGTACATGTAGGCATTAAATTGTTTCTCTGGTGGGAACTCTCTGGAATAACTTTCACAAAATCATTGTCTTAACGACCATTTTATAATTATATGTATAAATGTTTTCTAAAATTCTATACTGCACTACAACTTTGATGTTGATCTTGTAGAGAATGTTGGTGACAGGACAAGGCAGGGTGTATTCACGATCTGGTTCAGCATGGCTTTGATTCAAGAAGATTCGGTTAAACCCATTGGAATATGTCCAGAAGCTTCAGTTAAATGGCTTCAATAGTTTGCCATAAGGCCCTGAACACATGCAACCGGGTCGACAAGACACGAACCTATTCTTGTAGCCAATGGTATAGCCAGTGCAAGTTCTCCTATAGCCGGTTCTGTAGGGTAAATAAATGAAAATGAATTAGATGTTTTCCAAACTATTTCACCTGTACCAAGTTGAAATTAATAACATGTGATGCAATCGATCGCATGATTCATAAGTGAATATTATTAATCACACATGCAATTAAATAACCCTTGATAAATGACTTATATTATATCTGAGCTACACTCATTCACTTGGGATAATTACATTTGATTGTTTAACGTCGACTTACGTATTTCAGAAATGTGACTACGGCCTGTAAACAAGTGAGACTTAACCAGGTAAACCGGTGATCGTTATTGCGAACAACGTCCCATGCCGTCTGGGAAGCGGTGCGACAATAGTAATCAACTGAGAAACCTGAGCCATCACTATTTTAAGGATAACGCTATTTTTCAGGGCATTATCATTTGCAGAAGCCCGAGGTTTCGATTAACTGCCCGACGAAAGAGGGCAGTTGAAAAGACAACGGGCGTGATAATTGCCCGTCGTCAAGCAATATGAGTGAGTGAGTGAGTATGGTTTTACGCCGCTTTTAGCAATATTCCAGCAATATCACGGCGGGGGACACCAGAAATGGGCTTCACACATTGTACCCATGTCAGGAATCGAACCCGGGTCTTCGGCGTGACGAGCGAACGCTTTAACCACTAGGCTACCCGACCGCCCCTCAAGCAATATGAGGGCATTATCAAATTACAGTGGCCCGCTCATTTTTTATAACATGCGGGCGGTTTAATGATAATTCTATCCATTTTAGCTATTAATCCATTTAGTCGCCTCTTACGACAAGCAAAGATTGTTATGGATCTATTCTAAACCGGAATTTGGTGAAATAATTCTCAGTGAACATTTTTACAATCTCACCGGTATCTGGTACACCTTCCCCATCCCAGAAATCCACAACGTGTGGTATATCTTTGACAATACGTTGTTGATGTGTATATACTGCAATAAAAATGTCAAGTTATTGTAATTGTACACATTTCAAGTAATAACATACACACAAAATAATTATCCCAAAAGATGAATTTATTTAAGGCCCATCGTCCCTGTTATGTGATTTCAGGTGAAATTTGCAGTTACTTCTACTTGATATTGTCATTTGGGACTACAAAACAAGTTCGAGGCAATCGAAAATTGGAAACATCTAATTCGACTGATCAGCGATCAAATAATGACAAACGATTGAAGGTTTTCAGCTGAACTGGACATACAAATAATTTAACATAACAGCGTTCGACATAAGACAAATAAATAAAAAATCATCAGTGGCCTTACGGTTTCTTGAACGAGACACGCTCCGTTACTGTGCACTCGTCACATTGGCAGAGCCAGACTGAAAGGAAATAAGATACTGTACACGTATGCACACCTACAGAAACGCAACAAAACACAGCCCCACAAACATACGCGCACAAACATACACTTCATTAAAAAATGAGGTTCGCCACACTTGAAATACAGCAGCGTGACACAATACCCTGCATCAATTCTAGATATGTTCATGTTTTATGAGATTCTATTAAATCTAACATTAAGCGAAAATAGATCAGTCGTTGCTCTCTTATAGGATATAAAAGTATGGCTTGAAGGTGCCCAAATAGTTCTAGAGATTGAACACGAACTCGCACGATCTTTTACCCAAGTTGTGTCTCGTAGGATTATGTATAGTGCTGGATATGTAGATAAAGGCAGCACACACCTCTGGCAAAACCTCTTCTTTTTCATGAAAGCTAAACACTTTGCATTTGTCGCTCATTTTAGTCAATTTTATGCATTTTATCTCATCATTCAAAAAGTTCAAACAACTGATATTTCATTCATATTTATCGTGTCAAAATGTCAAAAATTGTCGGAAAAATCGATGGCCATGTTCGATAGGCTTTCTGTACGTCAAAATATAACATGTCCACATTAGCGTCAGTGTCCTTCTCTTACCCATCATTAGACTTACGGCATCGAAATTAAAACACAACAACATTCATGTCAAGAAACTTAACACTCAATACCTCATGAATTCAAAATATGATAAATGGACTCAGCCTGTCTTACCGAGTGACTCCACCAGTCCAAGACAGATGAGGACCACGCACAGTTTTAGTACAGCTGCCATGGTTGTTTTGCCTCCGTGGTCAACACCAGACTGATGTATGTGAAGGCCGCTTCAAATGTTTAACCAGTTGTAACATCCGTTTGCTACTTAAAGTAAACATGGCCAATAAGACTGCTGCTTACACCTCGTATAGACCTGTATTATGAATAATCATTTTATGGCGCGAGTATATCTATATTTAGAAAACAAGTCCTGGTAACCTTGAATTAGATGTGAACAGTTTCTTTGAGGAAAATCTGATTAAAAGAAAAACAGTGAATCGCAAGCACATATATGGTGTGCATCTAAATTTGTAGACATAATTACACACTGGATATATACTCTCCTAAAAAGATAGAGAACATTAGAAAATAACAAATGTTTGCAAAGAGATATCGGGAAATCACTGCTAAATGCAGAGTCCATTGTACGATTTCGAGTATATCATAAGCATAGGCAAGTCAATTGTTCACCTAAAACATGTGAACACATGGTGCAAGTCAAAATAGTAAAATGCATCGCGCATACTTTTTCTCAATGTAGCGTCAAATTTGTAAATGACCTCCACATGTCTACCATAAAACATTTTGAAAGCTTCACTGAAGCCTTGAATGTTGTAACCCTGATCAAACAACTCTTGAGTCGTATGACGTTCTATGACATTGTGTAGGAAATGCATGCTCGGTTGTACCTAAAAAGGTGTTAATTGTAGACGTAACGTGTAGGTAAAATAACCAATGGCATTACTCTTTGCAACGAGACTTACATTTTTTACTTATAAACGTTCTGTTAACAGTATCGTTTGTTTCTTTCATGGCATTGTGAATAGATAGTTTCAACGAAATACATTTTTATCGGAGTTTGAAATTGTACATAAACTTGAACATTGAAGGAAAACGGGGGAAAATATATGTGCTGTTATAACGGTAACACCCACTGTGCGTGAAGATCGAGGTTATAGCATCACAGTTTTAGAATTTTGACAATATTACAGAAAAGACAAATTTTCCATACGTATAACTCCCACCCATATGTCTACAACTACGTATCTGCTTGTGCTAAATTTAACAATTCTGATTCACAGCTGTTTGCTTGTGATCTTGGTGCTCGATAGGGATATTTCCTCAGTCCTTTTTACTCTCTGTGTTTATGAATGAATTCGCGAAAGAAATAGAGTCCATGTAAATACGGAGATTCAACTTCATCCAGACATTACTCCTAATACTGATCCTATATTTGGTTTACAAAACTGAATTGACATTCTGGAAAAAAACATTATTGTAAGTACCATGTGACTGTGAATTTAAATAAAACCAATGTGGTTGAATTCAAAAGGGTGCCGGAATGTTATCAAAGTACGAGAGGTGGTATTACCGTAGTTCATGTGTGGAGTTTTACAGGTACTTTCTTACATTTTCTAAATCCTTATCGTGGTCACGATATACTTTATCGGCTGCTTTACGGGCTTGAAAGGTATTGTTTTGTTGGTTTAAGTCTCATTCAAAATTTAACCCAATACCTTAACATTTGAACGGTAAGATCTTTACGCCAAGGTGAAACCAGTCTTTTTAAAGGAGCTGAAGTATGGGGGTCTCGATAATATGGATAGTATAGATAAAATTCATAATTTTGCTTTTAGGTGTGAAATTGTCCACTTTAATCATGTTGTATGTGGCAGGTTCCCATTGGAGTATAGGATTGCATTAAAGCTTGTATTAAACACTGTTTTAAATTGCTGTGTATGCCAGAAATAAGATTTCCTAAAACCTGCTAAAATGTGTTTTTACATTGATTAGCTTGTGATAAGATTAAGTGGGCATCAAAATAATGTTTATACTTTTTCATGGTGGTTTCGGGTATGTGTTGGAAATCTAACGTATTAACAATCTTAAATGCGTTTTCCATAATTTGTACAAAGACTAAGGTGTCCAAATTCACACGACGTTGTTTATCCAGTCAGTTTCATTTGGTTTTGAGCTCTATTTAAAATGTATAACGATTTCAAAATTCAGTAGAGCACTAGAAAGATTTCGTTGCAGTTCACACAATCTAGTTATTGAGACTGGTAGTTATTACAACATACCTCTGGAAGAAAGGTGGTGAATAAATTGTAAAAATAATTTGTAATTAGTGTGTGAGAAAATATGATTTTTATATACAAAACGTATGCAGTGCAACCCTCTCTTCGTCATTTTAACATTCTCTTATTAACATCAAATGCAAACACCATCGACCACTTATCCATGTTTGTCTACAATGCAAACCGCTTGAGCGATTCTTGTTTCTTTTTGTTTAATCCCAAATAGAGTGCCATATGTACATAATGTACGTTTTTGAAAGGCTTTTTAGAAGTGATACACATAAGGAAGAGAATATATGGATGTCAACTTCTTTATTATGAGGAACAAAACGTTTCGGAGTATATGCTTACTCATTCATCGGGCGAATGATGTACATTGTCAACTACAGCTGCAGTAGAGTGTTATGTAATAATGGGCCATCATTATGGATATGGGCCGATGGCATACATTCTTCTTGAAAATTGATTCCGAGACAGAATAAGACAACTTATTGAGATTGCCTTTGTTCTGGAATATTGGAATAAGACGCTAGCTTTTGGCTATATATTTCATTATTTAGTTTCTTATTTGAGTTCGTGTTAATATATATTGGACTGTATACACAAGTGATACTGCAACTGACTTACACGAAATCACCATCTTAATTATTCTATATGTCAAAATGTTCTGAAATTCTAAGCTGCAACATTGATGTTGACCTTTCGGATAGAGTAGGAGACTAAGGACAAGGCCGGGTTTATTCAAGATCCGGTTCAATATGGCTTAAATTCGAGAAGCTTCAGTTCAACAGCCTCCTTATATTTGCCAAATGGGCTTCGACACACGCATCCGGGTATAGCCAGTGCAATCACCCCTTAGGCCGGATCTGTATTTGTATATGCTTAAAATAACAATCTGGCGCTCCCGGCCCGAGATCGTATTGACACAATGCACCGCTGTGTTGATGTAGGTCGACTCCACAGTCGCCCTTGGCGTGATCTTCCTTGTTGTGATTATGTCTAGACGGTACACTAAAATGTCCATTATGCTGTATTACCTTTACTTCAGTGATCATAAAGTCACTTCAAACAATTCGAACAAAACTTTTCAAAATTGGTTCTTTCGTCTTCCAATTCCCGAAGACAATAAATACACCAGTTTAAAACCATATTTAACTTCCATGTAAAATTAGTATAATCAAATCTACAGGTAACATACAATTTACCTCTATATGGAAACGCAGTATGTGTAGCTTCATTCTATTCTACCGTGACAATGGAAAACGCGCACTATTTGATGACAGAAAACGAGTGGAGCAGAACAGGTGGATTCCAACGTTTTGAGTGGATGTCGATAAGTATCTCTAATAAACATTTAACAGCGGTGTGCCTTTATATGATCAAGTTCTGCTGTTTGCATCAGTGTACTTACCTCGCTTATATCATAGGTATGGAATGTGTATAGAACAGCGACTTTCGTAAACAAACATATAGCGGTCACCCCTAACGAAATGAAGGTACATGCAGAGCCATTATCATTTCACACAACGTTTCAGCTTTCTAGGCCTTGTATATCTTCAGAATACACATTTGATGTAATTTCTTAAAAATAAAGATAAATTCACCATTCTGAACAAACATCTGATGTCTCCTTTAGAAGGAACATTCAGATTTCAGCTCTTTTCTCGGTCAAGCAGAAAACAGAGCCTAAAATGCATTTGATTTAAAAAGCCACAAAATCATTTCCCTAATCATATTTTTTTAACTTAAAGCAGAGTTCCTTTGACTATTTCAACTATATCTTAAAAGCTGAGTGTACCTTGCCCTGCAAGAAAAACACGGAAACATGCTACAAGTCAAAATATCATTTCTATCAGTGATGCGTTCAATTTGGAAATATCCCCCGCATGTCAACAAAAAAAAAACATTTCGAGAGCTTTGCTGAAGCCTTTAAGCACGTGGTCAAAATACAAACCTCAAATCAAAGTCAATAGTAAACGTATCCCAAACACGGAACACATACTACTTGTCCTACTACTAACTACACAAATTTGATAACGTTTTGGAAAGAAATGGTCGTGAACTGGCGTTAAAACACATCTATGACGTCATTCTATTGTTTGAACGCTCTATTGTTTTTTTAGGAATGGAGAGTTGTTTGTAAACTGTACATTATCTTGAACCAACATTTGACTTAAGTTCCACTTGGAATGGACGGAACTATTTACATTTATTGACAAGTGAATAATTTCATTTTTTCCAGCGCCAGCGGGGTTCCAACCCGTATAGTTTGATTTGAGAATGTGTAAATGTTAACGTCAGCTACAGCGGCACATGAAGGTATGGTGTGAAATTAACTATTAAATATTTTCATAATTTTGCATAATGCTTATAAGCTCATAATAATATGTATTTTGTGTAAGAGCAGGTTACCTACAACAATGTACATATGTATAGCAATTTATATATAATTAGACAACCTTTGGCGAGAAAAAACAAATAAGGTAATATAAATATCCCTTGACGGGTCTCTATATTTCCTATTATTCCCATCAGCATGTATTAAAAATGTGCAAGCGATTGATAAATACAAGTTTTGGACCCAACGAAATTATGAAGAGCCGTGTACCATGCATTGTAAATGTTAGCTCGCGATGTAGCTTGGCGCACGTGCAACAGCGGCAGAGAACGCATCACGCAAGGGCGACTCACGCAGTATATACAGACAGCAAAGAGTTCTGGTATATTTTTCAAATACTTTCAACAAAAGAATATTTTGTCAAAGTGTAAATGTAGGGATGAGTTTTAAGTAGGGGCCGAGGCCCATTATATTTAATGAATGGAGAGTTACGTGGACATTCCCCTCCACATAAAAGGGGTTTCGAATATTGCTTTTGTGGAGGCCACATCCAAAACTGGATTTAGAGAAGGCGGACAACCAGCCTATGACATGAGCTCATTGACTTTCAGACATGTGATCTAGGAATGGGAGAACAAAAACAAGACATTTTATGTACAATGATAATATTAAGAAAATACACCAGCATGCCTGCGAGGGC